ATATTAGAAAGACTAGATCGATACCTTGCTAATGAAACCTGGCTGGAGTTGTACCCCTCAGTAATGGTAACTCACCTCCCAACAACCTACTCCGACCATAATCCACTATTAATCAGGCTAACAAATCCAATCTCGACTAATTCTACAAAATTCTTTAGACTCGAAAAATATTGGCTAAGCCACCCAGAATTTAGTAAAGTGGTTGAACAAAGTTGGGGTAATAGGAATTTCAGTGAGGCACAAAGATGTTTTCAGACTAACATTAAAGAAAGAGTACCCAAAATTTTGGAAATATTTTCGAAAATAAGAAAAGGATACTAGCCATAATTAGGGGGGTCCAAAACTCATCAAGTTATGCTACTCGCACATTCCTTAGAAACTTGGAACAAACTCTAATCACTGATTATAATAATACTCTACGCCTAGAGGAAGATCATTGGAAGATTAGATCTCGTCTTAATTGGCTAAATGAGGGTGATGCCAATACCAATTTTTTACATTTATGTCCTTAATAGTTATAGGCATAACAGTATTTTTTTCTTTAAAGATAACACGGGGAATTGGATAATGGAACGTCAGAAAATCATTGAGCACACTCACCAATATTTCCAAAATATATTCACAACCAACAATACTCTATCAGAGTGGAATACGGTTAAAAATGATCACACAAATTTTGCCAATATTGACCTCTCCCCACTGGATAGGCTATTGGACACCCAAGAAATTATTTTGGTTGTATATTCTTTTAAGCCATACAAGGCCCGGGTCCTGATGGCATGCACCCTATTTTCTACCAACGATATTGGAATATTGTGGGTCCCTCGATTATCCGGCTTTGTAAAGAAATATTTGCCAGATCCAGAATTTTTGAGGAAATGAATCACACCTTATTATGCCTCATCCCTAAATTTAAGCATGCAAATAACCTCAATAATTTCCGACCAATAGGACTCTGCAACACCACTTACAAAATAATCACCAAAATAATTATTAACTGCATCAAGCTTTTTCTAACTGATCATATCAGCCCATGCCAAGCTAGCTTCTTAAAGGGGAAGCGAGCATGTGATAATGCTATTATTATACAAGAAGTTGTAAACAACCATCTTTAAAAAAGGAAAGGGGTGAATGGGCAATTGATAATCAAAATTAACCTCGAAAAAGCCTTTGATAGGTTAGAATGGTCTTTTGTCTACAAGGCCTTAACCTTCTTTAAGTTCCCACCAAAAATCACCACCCTAATCATGAACTGCATCTCCATAAGCAAGATAGCAGTCTTGGTAAATGGTGCACAAACAAATTTCTTCGAACCCACGAGGGGTATCAGACAAGGGGATCCTCTATCTCCTTATTTGTTCATATTAAGCATGGAATTGCTATCTGTATACATCAACCACCAAGTTGACCTAACTCTGTGGGATCTCATTAGAATTGGGACAAAAGGACTTTATCTGTCACACCTATTCTATGCAGATGACTTGACATTCATGGTACATGCCAATGAGAAAACCATAAATACCATTCACCACTCCTTAACAACCTTTTGTTCACTATCTGGTCAAAAAAAAATAACACCAAATCAAAAATCCTTTTTTCATGTAACTGCTCAACTGCCATCAAAGATTATACAATCGACTTATTTAACATTAATCAAACAAGTCAATTTGGCAAGTATTTGGGATACCACATAACCAATAACAAACCTAAACCTGCTGACTTCCAATTTGTAATTGACAATATGCGGAACAAACTTTCAAATTGAAAAATAAATTTCTTAACTCTTGCGGGTCGCACAACCCTAGCAAAGGATGCCTTCAATACCATTCCTAATCATAATATACAATACATATCTCTCCCAAAGAAGACCCAACATTAAATTGATAAAATACAGCGTGATTTTATTTGGGGCACAACTCCGCATAAAAAAAGGATCCACTACATCTTATGGGATGTTGTAACCCTTCCTAAAAAGATGGGAGGTCTGGGGATACCTAAGGCATCCCACAAAAATCAGGCCATACTAGCAGGACTAGCATGGAAATTATTCATCAACCCGCCAACAATGTGAGCAAACACTCTAATTCAAAAATACAGCCCTAAAACTAATGCTAAGAACACCTCCTTCATTTGGCAAAATATTTTGAGAGGATGGAAAACCATTGCCAAAGGAATTACTTGGGATGTTGGCAATGGCAAATCCATAAACTTCTACTCTGGTTGTTGGACCCCTAACAACATAAACATCTGCTCTTCCATTCATGGTCCTCTTAACAAGAAAGATAGCAATTTAACCCTTGACCAGGTTTGGAGAAATGACTGGTGGAACTGGTCAATAATCTCCTTTGAACTCCCCAGCAATATTAAAAATGATATCTCTTCCATCCCCCTCTCATCAAACCCCCTCGCCATAGACACATCCATTTGGTCGCTCAACACAAATGGCACCTTCTCAACCCATTCAGTCTTCACATTATTTTACCAGCAAATCCAAAATAGCACCGACTATGATTGGATTTGGAAGCTCCATACCCTTAACAAAATTAAATTTTTTCTTGTAATGCTTTAAAAATAGATTACCTACTAAATCTTACCTTCATCAAATTGGAGTTTCAAACGACAATATTTGCACAGTTTGTAGGGTGGCATAAGAAACCATAACCCATATTTTCCTTGAGTGCATAGTGGCACGCATATTCTGGGACAATATGGGCATCGACATCAATACTATCCCAAATAATAAACATTGGCTCTTATCAATCAAGGACCTACAAATAACCATTACACACAACTGCATAATTTGGGAAGATGTATTTCCATTTGTAATTTGGCACCTCTGGTTAAACAGAATCAATAACTGCTTCCACAACCTCTCCAAAACATTAAACTACCAAATAGTTAACACACGGACCATTGAATTTAAACTACTTGCGTCCAAATACAAATGCACCATGCACAAAATTCTTGTTCATATTAAATGGTACCCACCACCACCCTATACCTATAAATTAAACATAGATGCTTCCTTGGGTAACCATAAGACTGGAGGCATTGGGGGGGTTATAAGAAATAGTCAAGGGGACATGATAGTAGGCTTTGCTAGCAAAATCAAAGCCTATAACTCTACCCATGCAGAATTACTAGCACTTAATACAGGGCTAAAGCTGGATAATCACAAAGGGCTAGCCCCAGTGGAGATTAATACTGATTCGACGGACATAATCCAACTACTGGAACATAATAGTTTTCCTGCATATACTAACACTATCTTTGAATGCAGGTACTTGTTGAAGAGATTGGGGAATCCAGTAGTCCGACAGAGCTTCCGCGAAGGAAACAAGGTGGCACACGTTTTGAGTAATAGGGTTCCAAACAACAGCAACCAACCTCTACTTCAACGATTTTGAACTCCCCACTAGACCCAGTCAAGAGGATGATCCAAGAAGACAAGAATGAAATATCTACTACTAGACTAGTATCAAGCTCCATATGTAATACACTAGCAATGTTTGGAAACCTAAGTATTATTTCTAGTATTACTAATAGTGATGTAATGCCACCGTAACCTTTATTAATGAAATTATCCTTTTCTCCAAAAAAAAATGAATTGGGGGGGTCAGCAAATCCTCTCCGGTCTTCAGTATAGAACCATCCAATAAAGTTCATGTTGGATTCTTGCGATGTGTCTGATGTCGGACTATAATTTCACATTCTTTGACGTTATTCACGTTACTTGTTTGTTGTATTAATATTAATTTGTGTGATATTTTAGTTTAATTGAATTTATTTTATGTGTAGGAATACATGGATATAAAGTGAAAAAAAGTTATAACTAAATCTTAATTTTCTATGGAATTCGGCTTCGAACTTATAAATCGAATTATATTTGTAACTATAGCTAGACCTCTTACAAGGCATTTTTTAGCGTGATCAGGAAAAATGATGTTGAGATTCATTTGTTGCTAAGAGATTAAGAAAGAAAAATCATGGCAGAATGCATAAGTACCCCTGACCTATACTCGGATTTCCAACTACATATTTTTTCTTTGCGGGAATCCTATTATCCCCTCTAATTTTATTTTAAATGTAATTATTTGCACTCTTAACGCTGACGTGGCAGAGTGTGTATATTTTACTCTCCCAAAGGAGAGTGAGAAGCAAGAAAAAAACGATTTTCAGATTATTTTTTTATTCTTTTTTACCATTTTTTCTTACTTTTTTTCCTTTTCCTTTTTCTTTGTCTTTTTTCTTTTACTTTTTTTTTTGTTTCTTCTCTAATTCCGGTGGATATTCATTCACCGGCGACTTTATCTAACCGTTTTTCTTCCATTTTTTTCACACACAAATTAAACTCTCAAAAATATCTATTCATAAGCAAAGCAAAATACACTCAGATTTGGGGGGAAAAATTCATCATCGAAAAACCTTCCCACACCGGAAAAAAAAGTGATGTATTGAAATTTTAACCGAAAAAAGTTTTCTCAACTTATATTCGTTTTTATTTCTTTTGCTCTTCCTCCCACACATAAATTATACTTTCAAGAAAAAATTTTATATATATAAAACAAAACACACTTAGATCGGGATAAAAATCTGTCGCAGGGAAAAAAAATTCGCCGGAAAAAATGGTATTTGTGAAATTTCGATGACTACCATTTTATGCCGCCGGTGACCAAAACAAAAAGAAAGAGAATGAAATAACTAAAAAAAAGAGAATAATAAGAAATAAGAAAAAAGGGATAAGAAAAAAGAAGAAAGAATAAAAAAAGTACTAAAAATACATGTGGAGGCGCGTGTAGCTCACCACTTGCCAAGAGTTTGGTTGTCGGCGTTAAAGGTGCAAATAATTACATTTAAAATAATTTTAGGGGGTAATAGAATTTCCGTAAAGAAAAAGTGTGTAGTTGAGGTACAGATAGGGGGTGCTTATTCATTTTCCCAAAAAAAAATTTGAAAAAGAAAAGAAACGACGTTTGTCCTTGCTTCCTTTTACATAGATACATAACGTGTGGCACCCCTCAGTAGGAAAAGGACGCTATCCACCGCAACTAGATGAACCAATTAGACCAACACCACCACCACTTCACTACTATGCCGGAAATCCCCATGCCGTCCGGCTCCCGGAGAATGCCGGTGTTGGGTTTCGGCACGGCAGCAGATCCTCCTGTGGAACCAGAAATTATTAAAACTGCAGTTCTGCAAGCAATTGAGCTTGGCTACAGGCATTTTGACACAGCTGCTTTGTACAATTCTGAACAACCACTTGGTGAAGCCATAATTGAGGCAGTAAATCGTGGGTTAATTCAGTCTCGTGAACAACTCTTCGTCACTTCAAAGCTTTGGTGTAGCGATGCTCATCCTCAACATGTTCTTCCTGCCCTCACCAAGACTCTACAGTAAAATTCTCTCGAAAAATCTATTCAATTATCTATTTTTATTTGTTTTTTGTTTTAGTGAACTACTCAAGTGCTAAGTTGTTTCAAGGATTTAACATCTCTTGGAATCCGTGCAGACTTAGGGTGCCCACTATTGATATTGTGCCTTTCGGCCTAGGCCCGCGGGGCTTTAAAATGTATTACTAGGATGTAAGGTTTGTTTACTTATATACCCAGCGTTTATGGTGCGTTTTGTGTAGAATTCGCCTAAGATATCGTATACACCCCCGTAACGGGACTCAACGTCATTGCTGAGCCTCATCATCATTTAAGGTTGCACACGGACTGGCTCTGATACAATATGAAGTAGCCCAGCCCACTAGTGATATTGTCTGCTTTGTCGCTAAGCCTGCACGGCTTTAAAATAAGTCATTAGGGTCTTAGGCTTGTTTACTTAGATACTCAGCATCCGTGTTTTGTCGATGTGAGATTCGCATGGGGTGACACACTTAGCGAGAAATTAGAAAGAAAAAATCAATTAGTTGGAATTAGGTTTAGTCATGTTAGTATGTTTATTTTAGGTTATATGAATTCTAAGAGTCTTTTAGTCCTCTATGAAATTTATATACAACTATGCATCAATCACAAATTAATCGAGATCGGCTGTATGAATCATAATTAGTTCTGTTTGGGTGCCATAATATTTAAATGATCTGTACTTAAATATTATCTAACATCACAGTTATCTAATTTACTCTAGTGGTTATAATTCTAATATACTAAGAGTCTTAAAAAGCATCTTCTTAGAAATTTATATGCCACTAGAAAATATAGAAAACTTTTCACTTTTTCTTTTTTAGATTTTGTTTAAGCGGAGTGACATGATTAGTAGGAATTCATATAATCGGCCTCACTTGTTTGGGTTTGAGATGTACATAATTGTTTTTGTAGTAGTGAAAGTGAACTGCTAAATTGGTGGTTGAACTTGTGCAGGAATCTAAAGATGGATTATATTGACTTATATCTAATACACTGGCCAGTGAGTTCTAAGCCAGGAATTCATCAGTATCCAATTAAAAAAGAAGACTTTCTTCCCATGGATTTCAAGTCAGTTTGGGCAGCAATGGAAGAGTGCCAGAAACTTGGACTCACTAAGTCCATTGGAGTTAGCAACTTTTCTTGCAAGAAGCTTGCTAATGTTCTTGCTACTGCCGATATTCCGCCTGCTGTTAATCAAGTATGTTAATCAAATACAAACTTACTTGAGAAGTAGTAATTGTGTTAGACAAATTGAGTGAAAAGATAGGACTATGACTTGAGCTGTTCTTGATTTGAAAGGTAGAAGTGAGTCCATGTTGGCAGCAAAAGAAGCTGAGAGAATTCTGCAAGAGAAATGGAGTTCTCGTTGTTGGATACAGTCATTTAGGATCCATTGGTACCTTTTATGGAACCAACAGAGTTATGGAATCTCAAGTGCTCAAAGATATAGCAAAGACCAAAAGCAAGACTGTCGCGCAGGTATTCTGAGATGAGTTTAACTTAAACTACACCGGTAGTGTAAAAACATTTACATTGTCAGTGTGTAACTTTAAATCCTTCTATAGTTTCAGTTATTTTATTTCTGCTTTATTACATGGCACACTTGAAGTAGTTAGAGATGTGCAAAATTCAGGTTGCTTTAAGATGGGGATATGACCAAGGTATTGGTGTGGTGGTGAAGAGTTATAACAAAGAGAGAATGAAACAGAACCTTGAGATTTTCGACTGGTCATTAAGCGATGAAGAGTGCAGGAAAATCAGTGAAATCCCACAAAGTAGAGCTTGTCTTGGTAAGGATTACACCTCTCCTCATGGACCTTACAAGACAATTGAAGAGCTCTGGGATGAACAACTTTGATTATATCATTTTGTAGTATCAAGCATACTGTTCCTGTAATTCTTCTTTACTGTATACGGCTTCCTCCTATTTGTGGTAGTTGTACATTATCAACATAAGATATAAGATGGGACAAAGATTTGTCCAGTTCATTGTTGTTTTAGTTGTATGTTTGCTACGAGTCTCTTTTGTTTTGTTAAAATTTACTTGATTTTTTTTTCAAGTTTCAACTGAATTTATGTCCAAACGCTAGCTTAAATAATATGTAAATAATAAAAGGTAAATAGCTCACTTTTTTTTAAAGAAGTAGATTGTATTATATTAAGCTAATAAAACAATCAGCTGACCACACGAGTAACAGGTCTGTAATAATATCCAAATAAGAGTTACTGGTCTCAAATAATATTCAAAAATAGGGAAATTACTTTTTTTTGTCAAAATCACATTTACCCTTGAAAATAAAGGTACACATACTAACTAAGTAATAACTACAATACTGCCCACTTCCGTCTAAGGATAGGAAATGTAACAGATTACATAAACTAACAGACATGCATTCCTAGAGCAAGGGGTGTTCATAAAAACCCGGAAAGCTGAACCAAACCGACCAAATAAACTAATATTTTTTAGGTTTGGTTTAGTTTTGGTTTTGAATGTTAAAAACCGATTAAATTTGGTTTGGTTTTGATTTTAATCAAAAAATAACCGAAAATACTGAACCAAACCGACTATAAAATCAGCTAATATAAATTTATTATGTATATATATATATATATATATATACATATATATATCTAAAATTTTATAGTACATAGTAGTCACTTGTACTTTTAGTCTAGTTCTTTGCTATTATAATAATCTAATTCTTTGCATTTACATTCTACTTTGATTGGTAGTTTTCTTTTGCTAAATACAAGAAATTTATTTCATGTTAAAAATAATCGATTTTTAATTGAGTACTTAAATTATTCATCACTATTTGATTCAATTATCATCAATATATCTTGGTAAATGATAGATTTTTCAAAGAGCAATTGATTTAATAGTGTTTCGTTTGTAGTTGCCGGAATATGTGTTTGGTAGTGTATGTCTCATATTTAAGAAGAAAAAAACCTGATAAATAACCGAAAAAAACGACAAAAACTGAATAGATAAAAAATCGACTTAATTGGTTTGGTTTGGTTCCAATATTTAAAAACCCGACTTACTTGGTTTGGTTTCTTTTTAGGAAAAAATCGACCCAAACCAAACCATAAATACCCCTACCTAGAGCATCCACGAAAATATGCTAACCTCGTTGACCTTCATTGAAGTTTAAGTTGGTTCCCAACCGACAGAAAATACACAGAAATCCATCATCAAGGCTGGTCTAACGCTTAATTGGAAAGGTCAAAATACAGCTGGGAAATCATTTAGTACATAAAAATTAAGGAAAATGAGTCAATTAAAATAAAATCGAAGAGCAAAATAACAGAATTCAGCAAATCATAACAGTAATTGCTCTAACATTTAGTCCACATTCAAGTCAAGATTCACCAACTCACATACATCTATCTACAACGAACAGATATCAGAACAAGACTCCGAGGCGTTGAGTCCATAACTTATTCTACATTATTTCCAATCTATCATCCATCATAGGCTTAAACATCTAAGAAGCTACAATTTGCATGAACTATATACAAAGATTGATATTTCATGTGAAAACGGAAGAACAAACATAGTAGATAATCTGATACATGCTTAACCAATAGCAACCCAACTAGATTCCGTGGGATACTGATACACAAGTTTAGTCCAGATTCAACAACGCACGGGCCTCTCATAATTTGGAGGTAAAGAAGGACAGTTCTCATTCATGTTGGCATATGGCTCCAATGTGTTGTACTGGGGGAGTTCCATTTCGTATTCGCCAAGAATCTGGCAGAAAGAGACCTTATTTTCTCTGCTGTTGCACCAACTCGGAAGGCGTGTCTGATTGTCTTCGAAAATTTTAAGCGTGTATGCATCTTTTATCTGCAAGCAGTAAGAACGACTTACCATCACTAATTGGGTGACAGAATGGAAGTTTTTTCTAACAAGACGAGATTAGACAAAGGCTTTGATACCCACAGTGAACTCCGTTACTTGAATAGAGTTGGAAATAGGGCCAAAAACTCCTGCTTCTTTGTACATTGCTAGAATGAAGGCCACGCATGTAGTGGATTTCCCATCACTGTAGACCCATTCATCTTGTTCTGGGATGGTCAGCAATTGATCAAATGTTATCCCACGTTTTTCAGTTTCAGCAAGAATACCATACAAGTCCAAATCCTGTAGGAGAAATATCAACTGTACATATGAAGTGATCTTTACAGATAAAAAACTTGAATGGTTCTGTAGAATTTAGAATCTGCGATATATTTAATGCACTCTCTGTATGTCAACAGTTATACTATGATATTGAAAGTGAAAGTTCAATCAACTAGTCAACCTGAACTAAAAAGGAAGCTTTCTGAAGCATGCTTCAATTTATGATGTTAATCTTATGCTTGCTCAAGGCTAAATGTCTGTATAAAGGAACATCATCTATAAAATACCGCTCTATACTGTTCTCAGAAGAGTTATGGAGTACCTCAGGCGATGCAAGCTGACCAAACAGTACTGTCATTCAAAAAAATATTATAATATATGTATGAACTGCTCGTACTAAAAGGACCAAAGGAAAAAATCAGTATTTAGGAGGGAACTCATAAGCTGTGTTTATCAATGGAATCAGCGGAATGAGCCACCTTCTATGCTTAACCATTACCATTAACTAATAGCTAAGATGTTATACATGTTTCCGTCAAAAAGATTCTAACATGAAAATATAACATGTTCAGTTACCTCAGTGCCAAGTCTCTTATTCAGAGCTTCATTCCACATGTTAGCAGCATATGCTGGCTGCACTCTTGTCCACATGGACATGACAGAAATCACCTGGCAACAAATGTCTTCTGCTGAGAAACCACACTAAAGTTGTCCAAGAGTTCTATTCAAATGGAAGGATGGTAGTGGTGACCAATTAATATTTCTTCAATTTCTGGTATTTTCATTTTAATTGACTTGCTTTTTCACCTGTTGTGAGGAGTTATTTTATTAATGGTTCTTTGGGGGAGGGGAACAGTAATAACCATAGATCCTTCTGAACTTCAACACTGGAAGATGTTTGTTTTATACTAAGTTGAGGTATTTCCTAGAGAGTGATAGCCAAGGATAGGATATGTGTAGTTTAGATAAGTCGTTGGTGACTTAAGAATCTTAGCGTCGAGATTGACGGACATGTGGGAATTCACCTAGTTCCTAGGAGAACATAAACATCCATTGCTACTTGCTCATCATCGTTTATACTTTTAAAAGGAATGAAAGGGAGACATACCAAGTGAGCATCAAGAGGTGGAGGGTAATTATCAGCTACTGTGTCAATCCAACTAAAAATCATGTTATGGTAACCATATGGTTTCCCGGACATTTTCCGAGCATATTCCCATGCTGCGGTATTATTAAATCTCGCGCGCACTTCAGGATGTAACGGCAACAAAGCAACTTGTGGATTAGAGTCATCCTTAAGTGTCAATTCCCACCACTCATCCCAAGGGATAACCGCAATAATTTCTTCACCCTGCAAAGATATAACATGAGAATCAGTTAACCAAGATTAAGCAGACTGAACATACCAAAACAAAGATATGAGAATGTTACCATTCATGTTATTAAATTGCAATGCATTTACACGCTTTAAAAGCTAACAATAAAACTCAGAGAGTCATCCCTCCCTCCCTCCAGGGGTAGAGAGGGATAGCACAATGAGGTATAAGTAACTCATCAGAGGTGAACTGCTATCTATAAGAAAAGTTGCATAAAAGTAAAGGAGAGCATACATTAACTGAAAATTTTATTTATCAGACACGGAAATCAAGTTCTTTAGATTTTCCACTACTGTTTGTCCATGTAGTTTAGTGGAAAAAATACATAGATTTTCTCTTTTGCTCACCTTTTCATTTTCATGTCCAGATTCACCAACCCAAAGATTACCCAACTCATCCTTCAAACAAACTGCTGTATGACCAGCAAAGGCACCAGTGACCCACTTCTCAAGAGTTTCAAACCCACCCCACCGTCCACGAATCTTTGACAGAGCTAAGAAATCACCAGAATTAACATCATCTGGATTAATTGTTGTCCGCGGATGTGGGCGTTTCTCAAATGTCGCTCCCATGCGCTTCTTCAGAAAAGCGAGGTTAGAATTCTGGCCCCATGCTGTGTTAGAAAACAGGGGTAGTACATCCACCAACGAAAGCAAGGTCCCGAGCATCCCTGATGGCATGAGAAACACAGAGATTCCATGTTGCTTGACCTGCATAAAAGTTGCTTAAAGGTCAACTGTAAATGTATGGACATCCATTGAAGCTATACAAGAAAAAAAGGCTTAAAACGAGAGCATACATATTCCATTTCAGCAGGTTCCTCCCATGACTGAATTTTAAATGTGTGATCGTGGGCCGAAAAGTAGTAGTCCCAGGTTATCCTATAAGGTGTAGCAAATACATACAGATCCATACACGTCCAGCTGTGTGCTGCGCCTGTCTGCAAAGTGGGGTAAATGAAATCTGAAATACAATGGCGCCAAGGATGTCTTATCTAAATAAAAACGGCATAATAGAACAAGAACAAGTACATACAGATACCCAAATTTTTCTTATTTCTTTCTTAAGGTGTTAAATAAGTTATCACTTGTTAGTTGTTATGACCCCATTGGTTCCTATGTATAAAAACATCTAAGTGTCAAGTGCAGAAACATTCATGTCATCTCGAATATTAGATGCTTGAAGACCACAAAGTGCAANATCTTTCTACGGTCTCCTTCAGTTACAACTCATACTTATTGTTTTTTAATGATAAGTTTGGCAACCTGAAATTATGGTTAAAAGATGCTGAACTTAAATAAAGCTACTTACTCTTGAATGAAGGTCTGCTTAAAACTATTCAAACCTATCGGGATCAACAACCACAAATGAGAGCCTACTATGAAATTCCGGGTGATTGGATAATGGTCAAAGTTATGCCTGTAAGCATCAAAAAGAATGTCGGAAGCTTGCAGAGGTGGATCTAGAGATGAGGATGGATATTGTGAGCAACGGCTGATAGTGTCACTGGTATGAACATCCAAAAGTATTTGTGAAGTGAGCCACTAATACCTTTAGGGGTCGTTTGGTTGGTGGGATAAGGGATAACAATCATGGGATAAAATGCAGGATTATTTTATCCCACGTTTGGTTATGGGTATTAATTAGTCCTGCGACATTTTGTACTAAAATGGTGGGATTAGCTATCCCATATAGAAGGTGGCATAGCTAATCCCATAGAATATCCTTGTCTATCCATCCTAGTACCAAACAATCCCTTAGGTTATCGAAAGGCAGCTAGCCATAAAGGTATACATGTTCAGTGCCAACAAATAGGTAAGCAAGAACTTTTAGTAGGGTGAAGGAAGCTGGTGATGATCATTGGAAAAATTGATAGTTTATCAATAGTTCCAAAATAAAGTGGAGACAGGAAGTTGACACAAAGAAGACAGTACAGCAGTTCTCATTAAATTATTGGTCTACAGGCATATTCAGGGAGGAAAAGATCCTTTTTCTTTAAAAGAAAGAAGAGCATTTTCCGGTGAGTGGTCAATGTGAAGGAACAGGTATGGCAACATCTAAAATTGAACAGGATGATATCTAAATTGAATAGGAGGACAGAAGTTATAACTGAATGTTCATAACAATCTAGCTTTCTACACATGGTGATAGTGGATCCACAAAACAGCACGCTTCAACGGCCCTTGCATCCTAAGTTTGCTTCAAATGCTAGAGCATTTAGAAACCTTGGGACCGAAGTGCATACACATACATTTAAGCGGCTACGTGGGAATACAAATGCTGACAAGTAGTGAGCCACATTCCATGTTTATTCTTGTTCTGAAGTGGCTCATGTGATAGAAAGACACAGCCCAAAAAAGCAGCTTTCATAAATGGAAGGAACCTGACTTTCTTGGTGTACAACTGATTCAAAGATATTATTTCCTCCTCCTTCTACACCCTCCTCCCAGGCAACGGCAAGAAGGCAATATTTTATTTTTTTTTGATCCCGGGCAATATTATTTCCAATACTAACAACAATAATCAAACTTTTTGTTACATCAATGTGACTATCATCCTAATATGAAGCATTTTGTAACTTTTTTTTCCGGATGACAGTGGTGTCCTGGCCAGCTTGCGTATACCTCGACTAATTCCACCGGGTACTTGCTACCTCCCACCAACACAGGTACCGGGCGCACCAAGGCTTAAGCAGATAGGAAGATAATGTTTTTTACCTCCACTGGGGTTTGAACATGAAACCTAGTATTTTTTGCCCACAAAGCATTCTGCAACTTTACCACTAAAATTAACACCTTCCTCTTTTCCGAACCCTCTAGTTCAACTATTTGGTACAAATTTAGCTTCCAAAGCATGAAATTCTTAGTCTTCCAACACCCCACTCCCCCAAGCCAGCAAGATAACTTCAACCGACAAACTACAACAACCATATGTATCTTACCAGTAAATACAGTTATAAATCAACTGAGCAGAAACTATATTCATAAAACAGAATAATGAAGCATATATTTAGCTCGCAAGCATGCAATGATTAGTATTCCCAATACCCAGTAGTGGACTAGGAATTTTAACAAGAGTAAAAATTTGTAAAATGCCGCATCTTGTATTCTTTAACCACTTTTTCCACCACACTAAAAGAAGTTGTTTCAAGGGGATTCAAAAATTTGTATATAGTATATACACAAAATATTTGTGTTAACCCAATTGCACTGTGTAATTTTCGGATAAAGGGATTTAATAATCTCTTCCTCACATGTGGCTCCACCTCCCCCCCGAAAAACCAGCGAGATAATTTCTACCCACAAAGTTCGACGTACTTCATCATCTTTAAGCTATTCCTATCGCCATTCATCAATTAAACATGGACTCGACCAAAAATTACAAGTAAATAGCAGTACTCTGCAAATCAACCGACATAAATTAAATAAACAAAGCAGAGCTATTCCTCGCACCATTCATCAATTAAACATCGACCTGACCAAAAATTACAAGCAAATACCACTCAACAAAATCAACCGAGCATAAATTAAATTCACAATCCACAAACCGAGAGATGGATAGTGGCACCGCCAATTCCGCGATCACCGGGGCCGGTAAACTCAACCCTAGCTTCATTCTGAAAAAAGCAAGCTCCTTTCCAACTAATTGACCCATTATCGGGAGCAAGTGATCCAATGTAAGTGGGTAACAAATCAACTGGGCTATGAAGAGTATTAAGCACAGGCCAAGAAACCTCACGTGGCAATACAGGGAGTACATCCTTCACCCTAAAAGGCATTTTTAATGCATCCCCAAAACCTAATCCTAACCCAATTAACAATATCCATAGCAGTGTTAAAGTAGACAGTTTCAGCGTCTGATGCATTAGTGGGAGTAGTGAATTGAAGAGTAATTTGCAGCTTGGGATTTTTGGGGATTTTGCAGAATTGATTTAGGGTTCCATAGAGGGAAGAGGATTGAGTTCCAAATTGATTGGGGTTGGGATTGTTGGAAAGGGGAATGATTGGAAGTAGATAGAGATGTAAATATTGTTAGGTGTGTTGTGTTATGAATTTATTATTGAAGTGGACATTCCCGAATCGTAAAGTACTATTTTTGGGAACTCATACACAAGTTTGATATTGAAAAAAAAAATAAGTTTAAATTTGGAGATTTTTGTTATTCAAAAGGAACTAGAAATTTTAAACTTTTGATGACTCAATTTATTTTAATTTTATCTCTTGAAAGTATTTCTATAAAATTATGATGAAACACAATTTAAAATCAAATCTAAACAAACCTGGATATTTGAATTTTAAAGATTAATTGACATGTAAGAATATACTCGTGTATTGTGTTACACCCCATATATATATATATATATATATATATAT